TCTCAACTTAGACAGTAGTCTCCCTTTTAAGCCATTCTGCCCCTATTTTTACCCGCAGACTGCTAAATATTACCGATTAATCGCACGAAGAGAAAACCTCTTTGAGTCAAGGTACAAACAAATATGGTCACAATAAAGCCAAAGTGGTCTTGTTGTTTCCAGATGCTTAGACATATTGGTAATAGTTTAATTGACTAACTTAACAAAAATGATTGAAGACAGAATGATCTATCTGCTTCATAAAATATCAAATAAACTTACGCTCATCTTCAATATTAAAGTCACACTGATTAAACAGTTATTTTATACCGTTTATCGTTAATAAGGCCTTGAGGTAAACAGTATAATATACTATATATTGAAGATAAGCTCAGGATTATGTTACGATTATCTTCCCGATGGCAACTTTAGTTTGTGACACGAAAGCAGTTACCATGATTTATATATACTTAAAAAGTTAAAAAACACAATTTTATTATAGCGCAAGTAAGTTGTAACAGCTGCACATTTTCGGTTTTTTTTTTGTTTAGCTTTAAATAATATTCATATCAAAAACGTCGTAAAATGCACCTGAAAATAATTCAAAAGTATGCTATTTATATATTACAAATTGAACTGAGTTATTGGCCTTGTCTTGGAAACGGGTTCAATTTTTAGCTCGTTGATCAAGTTCTTGGTAGATTTTACGAAGCTTGTTGAAATTGCTTTTTGTTACTTAAGAATGAACTGAATCACAAAAAAAAAAGGTTGGAAACCACTGACCTAGAGGCAACTATAGACTCAATGCAGTTGCCCACACCATCCTAACAAATCGTTAAATGGATTTTAAGGAAGTTTTTATGTGTATCAAGGACACTGATAGCATCAGCTTGTTCAATTAGCTTTTATTTTTAATATAGCCACTTCAGTTAGAGTCTAAAACTGGCCTCTTGAATATACGTTAGAGTAATCTTTGGAACTTATCTGATGACATCTGCTTTAACCAATCAAATTTCGAAATATGCCAGTGCTAGAGATGGCAAGGAATTCATTGTTTAAGCAGGATTAGGTCAAAAGATTTTTTTGACTAATGTTTAAGAGGCCAGTCGTTAGACCCTAACTTAAGTGGCCGTATTAAAAACAAGAGTTTAAAATAGCGATGGCCATCTTGATACGCCCACAATTGTAATGGTAGCCATGTTGTCCGCGAGGTTGAAATGTTTTTTATTATACGCCCACATCTCTCTATGTGGACGTATATTGTCGGCACCCCTGTCCGTCCGTCGGTCAACATTTGCTTGTGAACGCTCTAAAAACTAGATTTTTTGATGGAATCAAATGAAATTCGGTATGTGTATACATATCCAGAAAACGAAGATCAAGTTCGAATTTGAGCTATTTTCGACCGTTAGAAGCAGAGTTGGTGCCCTTGCCCAATAATCTTGAATATGCTATTACTCTCTTAGTTTTCAACCGATTTTGATGAAACTTAAAATGGACCTAAATCGAAAGGTTTGAGAAAGTTTAGTTTACTTCTGATTAAATTTAAGGCTTTTTCAATATTTAGGCCTCTTACGTCAGTTTTGAGGAGTTATCGCCCTTTAACCTCTATACAGTAAGTGCTTCTGTCAACACCAATTGCTCGTAAACGCTCTAAAAACTAGATTTTTTGATGGAATCAAATGAAATATGTTTATACATATTCATAAAACGAAGATCAAGTTTGAATTTGAGCTATTTTTGACCGTTAGAAGCAGAGTTATTGCCCTTGCCCAAAAATCTTGAATATGCTATTACTCTCTTAGTTTTCAACCGATTTTGATGAAACTTAAAATGGATGTTTCGTTTTTACCATTCGCATGCCGTGAAGGGCGCATATGGCTGTGGTCCACTATCTTTTTCTCTTGGATTTATCCTTGGGTAATAATAAACAATTTCACTAAGTTTCGTCCAAATCTGTTAAGAATTTGTGCTCATTCGTTTATGAGCTAATAATTTAACACGTTTTCAAGAATAAGGGTAATAGCTCATACCAAATATTTTTCGATGTCTGATTTTCTATACGAGGTAAGAAACACGCACACCATATTACATCAAAATCCATCAATAAACCAGCTCTTTATCATGTCCACAACAAATTTTCAAATAAAATTTGAACGCGTTTTCAAGAACAAGGGCAATAACTCATATCAGATTTTGATTTGTCTGATTTTCATTAGAGTTCATCCTTAAGCAATAACAAACATCAATACCAATTTGATCAAAATCCATCAAGAAACCAGCTCTCTATTGTGTCCACAACAAATTTTCAAGAACAAAGGCAATTAAATCTTTTTTCGATTTGTTTGATTATCTATAGAGTTCATCCTTGAGTGTTTTCAAACACTCACACAAAATCCTTCAAGAAGCCAGCTCTCTATCGTATCCACAGCAATAGTGGACAGACAGACTAATAATATAGATAGCTTGCCAGGCAAGGTTACATACGCCCACTACCAGCTGTCAACATCGATAAAGTCTAAATAAGTGACTTAATAAAGATTTTCAAATAATCTTTAAAATACAAAACCTCAAACATAGTTCATGAAATTATTGTCAAATTCAATCACAAACAAGGTCTCATCAATGTACGCACACGGGCAATAACCCTCATCCCATTACTACCTGTAAAACTTAAGCCTCTATCGCGCCTGCAAGCCAAATATGACAAGTTCTTAACAGGTCAATGGCAGTAACTCTGTACCATTTATCCCATTGTTACCAACGTTCATCGTGATCGGATAAAAAAAAATGTAACCTTTATGGTGCCCACAAGCTCAATTTGACGCGATGTTACTAAGTTAAGGGAAATAACTCTGAAACCGTTTATCCGAATAATGCCAATTTTGAACTCATTAATGTTTACATGCATAAGAAGTCAAGATTGGATAAAAACTGTGGTCTTTATCGTACACGTTTTAATTAAGTCAAGGGCAATAACTCAGAAGCCGTTCATCCGAATAAAACCAATTTCTAACTTGATTGAGATCTTATCAATATATATACATACATACTAAGTTTCATCAAGATTTTACAAAACTGTAGTCTCTATTGTGCCTACAAGAAATGTGAACGGACGGACCGATGTGCGGACTGACGGACATGTGTGAGGCCAAAATACGTCCCATCCCCCTTTTCCTAAAAAAAAAAAACGAAAGTAGGGTCTAATTTTTATTAAACTGTCAATTATATCTGTTTCTTATTTAAAAATGTAGAATTCGATAGTGGATTATTTTGTATTTATATTGTACAGTTCACTGATATTTTTTTTTAATTTATTTTTGGTTCTTTTCCTTCAATTTTTGTAATAACTCATTCATAGATTTCTTTAGAGAGGAGTTTTTGTTTGTGATAGTTGCTGGTTTCTTTTCCTTTACTGTAGCAGAAAATAATTTATAATTTTATTATTTTTTTCAGTCTGAATGTAATTATTTGTCCTACATACACCAAGTAGGACATTTCATTTCATTTTCCTTTTAGTCTAGAGGGGTATTGAAAAAGCGTGCTTAACCTTCATTATGATGTTTTTTGGTTGATTCATCATCTCTGAGCTATCCTGAACCGGAATCAGTCCGGTGCCAGATTGGAAACATTGAGGCAAAAAACAAAATAAAAAACAAAATGGCTGCCACCAACATTGTGGAAGGCAATATCTTCACTTCTCATGCACTTACATACAAAATTTTGGTGTCCACTAATGTCTTATATGGTCATGGATTCAAATTGTGATTAAAGGTCTGCAAATTCACGCCGAAGGTCTGGGGATTGATTCGAGCTCTGTTCGGAAGCAGCAATCAGTGGCAGCGCCAGTTTGAATTTGTATTGTCATGTTTACAAGCAGGGGAACATTAAATGCTCATGGTTAACTGCAGAGCTTCTACAAATAACTGTCAGACTTTCTCAGATACATTGTCAAAAGGAACGGTGTGGGCTCCTTCCAAAACACAGCTCGAAATGAGTCCAAGATCTTCTACATGACAGTGGAACGTAAAGCTAGCAATTGTTCATATATAAAAGGTGGCCATTCTGGGAAATGACACAAGTTCAATAATCAGATGTTTAATTTTATCACATTTTGATTCCATTACCATAAAAATTCCGGTTCAGGATAGCCCAGATGATGAATCAACTTCGCATGTCATTCGTTGTACTGTAACTTTTTCACTTCATCAATGCTGCTTTATGGGCTGTTGTCATGTTCAATACTCTTAACTTACATCTTCCATCTTATCTCATCTCATCTTTAGTCAATTGGTCAAAGATGTGAACTCAAATGTTCAGTAAGAATTATGTAAGCAATGGCATGTGTTATCCCAGTTACATATTTCACAAAACTTCCTTTTCACTTGAATCCATTTTGTATTATTTCATTTTAATTAGATCCTTACTGTGTCTGATGCCTGCAATCAATGGATGAAAATCACATACTGTTGAAACATATCAATTTACTTAATCTGTCAGGTAGCTTCAAACTAATAGAAGTCGCACAATAGTCCTCATTCTCCTTTATCCTTTAATACAAATCTATTGGTTTTGTTTTACACTATGAGATCATTGCAGGTTTTTCCATTAAGGTCAAAAGAGGCAGTGATCCTTAATTTCAACACCAATATCTCCAAATATGGTTTTTAAATATTCTGTAGTTTTAATCATAAAATGATGCATCAAATGTTCTGTCATAATCCAAATATTTCATTTCAAATTGCAGCAAACATATGTTTTAAATATTGCTTTATTCCATTAGGATTCCATTCCATATTTACAGGAATTTTACTAACTGTGACTAATAACTAATTATTACTACTGCTTTAATTGAGATCCATTTCATGGTAAACTTAGTAGCCTAACTAAAGATAACAATGTGTCTATGATTTTTGATTCACTGGTCTTGGTCTATTTACATGTCGGTGTATCTCATTTAATATTGGCATACATAGTATTAATATCTACTATACAAAACTGTATTAGATTTGGTGCTTATTTCAATTGTCAGCCTCCTCTTTAACTTTGACCTTTCCATTATCATCATTATTATCATCATTATTATCATTATTATCATCATTTACTTCCATTTCTTTTTCATGTTCCTCATCCTTCTTGACTTTTGCGTTTGTTTCTTTGCTTTCAGTCTCAGTCTCTTGATCTAAGCGTCTGAAAATCTTGTTGCTGACTTCCGCTATTTCTTTCTTTTCACCAATCAATGTGGAGGTTTTAAACTGTCTCCTGAAATATACATTCAAAAAGAGTTCTATTACAGTATTTGAAGTTATCTTGGTAAAAAACTGCATTCTGGTGAAATAGCAGTAACAATCTAGCATTCTTCACAAGAATTTAAATAATAGATCAAGGTCCAAATATGCTTTCTTGACAAAAAAAGTGCAACTTTCTTCAAATTTCATGAAAAGGCAATACTAAAATGATACACAAATTGATGCAAACTGCCTGAAAGTCAACATGAAGTCATCGTACATAAATAGCAATTTTTAAGAAAATCAGAAGAAAACTTAAAGAGCTATATAGAATTTTCAGTATTCTAGATCAAGGACCACAACTCTGTTCTAATTTCAAAATCATCTGAAACTGCCAAAATTCCAACCTTGATGTAAACATTTATATTTACCTTCATATTAAGTGATTTGAATATCAGTATAAACTTAAGGTACAATAGCCTTGTCATTATTCTGGGGTTAGAGGGTTAATTAAGTTGCAAATTCCAAAATCATCTTAAATGTCTAAAAATCCCCATTTGACCTTAGCTATTTAATCATATACATACCAGCTTTGACCAAGTTTGAGAGCAAGGGAGATAATTCAAATTGTCCAATGAAAAATTATGAAATACATGGTGGCAATCGATCGGTATGAAAATTTTCCCATTTATTGACCATTTTGAATTCTGTCAGCACCTACTATTTTTTCGGCAAAAGTAGAATGTAGAACTTGTTTCATTGAATGTTCTGGAACGTTCCAAACTCACCAACCTAGCGGCCCCCATGTAAAAAGCTGTTCCAATAGAAACTTTATTTTAGATAAAATGAATTCATTTCAAGTTTCAAGGACTTACATTTCTTCTAAAGCCTCTTCATATTCATCCTTAGCTCTAACTACAGCTCTGTGTTTACTCTCTAGCTCTCTATGACAGGTTTCTGTAAGGTCCATCCACATCTCTTCACTTGGTACATATAGCTGCCATCTTGGTTTCTGGGTACCACTCCGAGAATAATAATCGTCCTTGTGATCTCGATAAGAATGATGAGAATCAGGAAATTTCTTGGCATATGACTCGTGCCTAAAAAAATTGAAAATTTCAAATTATAATTGAACATTAAAAGAAATATCCATCTTTTTCCAATTTTTTTTATCAATTAGCAACAGGATGCAAAGAATATGTCAAAATATCTGAAAAATTAATGAACACTGATCAAGTTAAGAATGGTTTCCAAGTTCAAGGGACATTATTTTTTACAATACAACTGATGTCAAATTTTTTTACACATCTTTAAATCCAGTTCATGGAATGAGATGCTAGCTAATCAACCTGTGCTTAAAGGGACAGATTCACTATTTTCAGGGGTTTATTTGGGTCTTGAATATATGTTTATTGTTTTCAGAAATACTAGGCTTGTATGAAAAAAAATCCTTCAATTAGTTGAACATCTTTTTGAAATTTGGACGATGAGCTGTGAATACTTTAACCGTTAATCTTAGCTGAACAATTCCCCTTTCTCAGACCAAGATATAATTTGTCCCCCAATTGGAGAATCTGTCCCTTTAAAAAATAAATTCATCTTTGGATAATTCCTAACAAATTAGAATTCTTGAAAAATTTCTAGAATGAGGCAGTCAACAGAAAATAAAATAAAATATTTTTATAGTTTGACTCAATACTTACGCAACATAATTCTCAGAGATGACCTTCATTAAATCATCTTTACTATACTCTGGTGACCACATACCAAACCTTGTCAGTACTTCACGATTTGTCAAAATATCATGGTTCAATAAACATTTCTTTCCTTTGTCACATCTAAAATATTTACATGTATATCAATACAATTTTCATTTTCCAACAGTCAATGTTGATGATAATCAAAGGTAGAGGTATTTGAAAAGTTTCTTGTCAGGCACATTAATTTTCATTTAAAATGTGGAGGCACAAGCTATTTCATGTCTATAATGTTAATATAACCATTAATGCTACAAACTCAAAGTCAGCTCAGTTAATTCCTGCTTGAGGCAAACTCACATAAAAAAAAGCATCTAGTCTTTTGGATGGGACAATAAATCCCATGTTCCACAGGCTGTGCACTTGTAAGATCACTCAACAGTTGGAAAGAGTAGTCTTCTGCTCCTGTCCTGGAAAATTAGCCCTATTGCCCACTGCTCGGCATTGCCCATTTTCATGAAACTAATCTGGTGTAGAAAAAAAGGACATAGAATTCCTTCATTTCATTTCTTCAAAACAAGACTTTGCTTGCCTAGCACATTAAACAGTTATCTCTGACATTAAACAGTTATCTCTGACATTAAACAGTTATCTCTGATGCATTTACAACAACTATTGGTCTATTGTTGCTTTAACTGGTTAAAAAAAAAACCAAAAAAAAACATCCATACATCAACCTAGTCATAACAATAAATCATAGAAAAAAATCTTACTTTTCTCCTTCAAGTATTTTCTCACACATATGGAGAAATGGACATCCACCAGCTTGGGACTTGATACAGCCTTTAGTATTATAAAACCAACAGATAGGTGGTAGAGTTGTCGGATTACGATATTTCAGATGAGACAAGGCTTTTTTAAGATGATCAATGGAAAAGGTATGAAGTAGGTTTAATCTGAGAGCTTCTTGGTTGTGTTCAGAGTCTAAGGAATGGCGGAAACAGCAATTTCTATCATCAGGAGCATTACATTTACTCAAAATATAAAACCTGCAAGAAAGAAACCAACAACAAGAATGTACTCATCGTATCACAAATACAGGTTTTGACATGGTCGTATTAACTCGTATTGAACTAAGCCCACTACACTTCGTTTTGTCGGCGTGGAAATGAGATTGGTGCTATTTGAATCTGACCAATCAGAGCGGTACAACAGAAATGAGGTCATTTAAACAAAACACAACACCGCTTTGCCGCCGACCATTTGAAGAGATAAGAACACATTCTTTTCAAGTAAGGTTAGATTTCCTCTCCGCTTCAATTCTTTAACAAAAATCCTACTCAAGTCTGTACCATACATATTCATCAAAATATATAATGACATGATGCTTTCGTTTTGTTTACGTTCGCAAACAAAGCGTCATAACAAGTGATTTGTTTTGATTGGCTGAAATTTGCTACCAATATACCTTGGACAATATTTAGCTCTTTGAAAAGTTAACTATTTCTTGCTAGACTAAATTTCTGGTCAAATATTGATGAGGTCATATGGAATTGACACTAAGTGTGACAACATGTTGTCAAATAAAAAGTGATACTCACTTGCAAATATGTAAAGCTCCACAATTTTTAGAACAAGAGCTGATATTGGTAACATACTTCTGACAGAACATAATCTTAGGACGACCCACAATGATAACATTTTCTAACTTAGAATCCCCTTCTGCTTCCTCCTGATCATTATTCTCATCCATATTATCTGGCTCCTGCGGATTTTCTGCATCCTTATGTTCAGTTTTTTCGACTTCTCCGTGATTTTTAGTATTTTCCGCTTCCTCTTGATTTTCAGTATTTTCTACTTTATCCTTATTTTCAGCATCCTTTATATTTGTAAAACTCTTTTCCTCATCTTGATCAGTTCCATCCTTTCCTTCCGGTTCTTTCTTTACCTGAATCGATCCTTTAGAAGATTTCTCATTATCCTTATTTTCCTTGCATTTGTCTCCTTCCTCTTCTGGCTCAGCTTCTATTATTTCAAATACATTATCATCATCCATAAAACTCTGTAAAAATTCCATAAAAAGTTCAGAGGAGACGAACATGATTTTAATATCCATTAATTCATATTCCAGTTCACTTAGCTTACATTGTCCCTCTGACTTTGTGACTAAGATGCGCAAGGCTTTACTTGCTATGTAGTCTCTTTGATCCAGTGTCATTGTTTCATAAAATTTTTCATCTATAACTTGACTTTCTAATTGTAACTCTTCCTTGGTAGCAACATGTGCACTTTTATCTGTTGCTGCTCGTGGACTTGTCTCATGTCGAATATTAGAAATATAATTTGAAATATTTCTGCGATCAGAGCCTCTTTCTGACCTATGACCAGATGTATTCCTTGATCTATCAAATGAACTTGAATGTGCTCTTTGAGAATCGCGAAATGATCGTCTTTCCCTAAATAATTCATCCCTTCGTGAACGAAGATCTCCTCTACCTCTAAACCCTCTACCTCTTGTTTCAAAATGTTGCCTTTTGTGTGGATATTCTGTTGATGGGTGTTCGTAATTGTTTGTTCCTCTTTCAGATCGGGTATCTTGATATTGATTACGTTCTCCAGAATATTTACGTTTCTGTCTAAAATCACTTTCAAAATGATTTCCATTTCTATTCCGTTCATCGCGACGATCATCATATCTCTCTCTTTCAAATTCTGACCTGCGACTGTCGCGGAAATCAGTATCTCTACGTGTAGTGCGGACTTCCTCTCTCCTTGTGTCTCGGTTTCGATCAGTCCAGTTTCCATCTCTTCCATAATTATCTCTTGAGGAATTTCGTTTCCATTCAGGTGACCTTCTTGGTCTATCTGCTACTATGGTTGACCGGCTGTTATAACCCCCTCCCCCTCTATAGCCTCCACGGCCTCTCCTTTCAGAAAACCCCCCACGCCCCCTATATGACATGTTTACTACTTCGTGTTTTCCCTCGGTTGTTTAAATTGTTCTCAACCTTCTATAGGCGTTTTATAGCCTATATTTTATATCCAACTCTTATTTTAAATCCTCTCCTCTCTGTATTTCAAATGAATTCTTCAATATTTAGTCAATAAAGTTTAATAAGCCATTAGTTCCTTTCTGAAATAACAAAATTATTAACTTCATTAAAATAGCCTGTCAGTAGCCTACTATTTCTGAGTAATATTTCTATTCGTACACAGACAATTGGCGACATTTGACCCTATCTCATTCATTTTTGTTTTGAGTGTTGGTTGCCAAGTGCAATTTCACATAGTAATACAATACAAATCTTTATTTAATGTCTGTTATTTACTTTATTGTGTTTAAATTACATTAGTTCAGGGCTATTTTCACTAATGTAATGACGTCAAATACAAACATAAGATAAAGAGGTGTAACAAAATAACAAAGGCCCTAGTTTATTGAAACAATAAAATTTATCACAAAATTATTACGGTAGCACATTAAGATGCCGGTCGATTAGTCTCAGTTGCCATTTCAGTTCAGGTTAGGCACATTTAGATATTCGGATTATCCCAGATATAATAAGTGGAATAAGTGTTTAATGCCTTCTACTAGTTTTAAAGGGTTTGGTGCTTATTCAATTTAAAAGAGGTTGAAATTAAGAAACTTTGCAGTAATAAATACATGCAGTTTTACCAACCGGAAGCAGGTGCTCGTTTCAGTTAAGCAAATCTGCCCAAACCAAACCGGCATAAAATATTGAAACCCAAACAAACTCTCAATGGAAATGTGGTACAAAGGACTAAATGATCAATATTTCTTCAATCCAAATTTGTTAAGAAGCCAAAACACCTTAACTCTTGAACTGTTTAAATTTTATTTTCTTCGTGTCCAATCTGACATTTTCATGCGATTTCTTCAGAAAGTTTCGTTGAAGGCGCATTTGGTGTCATTGAACAAAACAAAACTTTTAACCTTCTGCAAAATGATTTCATTTCTCTCTTTGGATTGATTCTCAACCTAGTTAGTCATTGACAACTAGATATTGGAGTTAAAACCAGTTAGAAACCACCTTGTCCATCTTGTCTAGTGAAATTGTAAGCAGGACGCACAGTCTTTTGCATTTTATAAGTGATTTTTATCAATCAGGTTGGTATGAATAATTAATATGAATGGAAACAGAAAGTAAACTCCAATAGGCTTATTATAGAAGTCAGAGACTTGAAGACTTTAGGCCAATGAAAATGGAAATAAAATAGAACGGAATTTCTGTGTATATTTTCAAACAATCAAGTGTAATATCTAAAGAGACAGGTTCAGTATCCATTCAACCCATCTTAACCTTACTCTCTTAAATAGGAATTTTTTTAGCTGAGCTAATCAGTAATAGTGTTCACAGTTCACAGTTGAAATTTTAGTCTTTAAATCCATGTGTGTCCAGAATTATCTACGTTCAAATTTAAAAAAATGTAAAGTCTTTTTCTTATAACAGTCATAGTAATAGAGAAGACATGAATATATATAAAGAAATAGAAAATGAAATTCCCAGTTTGAGGTTTTGTACATTTTCTAATATTTCTGAAGATTATTTACATAGGTATATTCAAGACTCAAATCAAGCCCCAAATCACCCCCTGAAAAGGCGAATCTGTTTCTTTAAGCTTATACATCTATGGACTTGAAGTGTTTCTCATACAAGTAACAATTTCATTCAAAGCTCACTGTAGTTGGAGAAAAAACTGAAAATGTCTGACTTCCAAGTGCATTATCACTAAATTTGTTTCAGAATATTTATACCATCTGGATGAATTTTCATTGTATTTTCTAATATTGTTGTTTAGAACTTTTATTTTGTCCTCAGATTGGAATTCCACTTCCATGAAAAAAGGAAGATGACAGATAAAAGTTATGCTAGAAGTATTGAATTACCTACAGAAAGTTTGTTTAGAAATTTAAAAAATGCTAAACAATTTGCTATTGATATTGGTGAGGTTCTTTCTTACCCTGCTAGACACCTGATACCACTTTTTATTTTGAAATACTTATTCATAATGATTGATATACTTCCTCATGTGAAAAATTCATTAGCTGCTACCTATGTGTCGCCAATATGTTGTTTTGGATTTCGGGTTTCGTTTTGCTCGGATCATTAGTGTTTGGGTAATTTATTTCAGTGGCAGTACAGTTGTCCAAATTACAGAACAAAAATAACTTAAATAGCCATCATTTACCAACAATCAAGTAATAAGGCAGTGGCTGGTATATTCTTTGAAGATGTTGATGAGTTGACAAAGCTGAAAAATCCAATCCTCAGTTACCAGCAGACAAACCCAGACTTCTGGTGATGACTAAAATCTCAGTTAAAATCTCAATGTTAAACCTTCGAACTTCCCATAATATAATTATTTAAAGCGATGATACCATCATTCTGAAATTTTTGCTGTGTTTTAATTTTAAAATCTTGAAATATTTATAGGTGGATCTCTTGCCAAACTAGCATATTGTTCTACTATACAGAGAAGAACTTCTATGGTGTTTGATGAACCTGAAGAGGTAACCTCTGCTCTTGTTATACTCTATATAGTTTTTGGGAACGCTCGATTGAAGATACACATAGAAATCTTTTTGAATTAGGGAATACTATATTGATGCACACTGGCAATGTGGATATCAAATTTCAATTTGTTAGTTTATGAGTTACTTTATTGATTGTATAAAGATACATTTTGATATCTGATGGCCCATAAAACTGGGTTTTTTCTGTCTCTACACCAGCGGACAACTTTCAAAATAGCTTGGAAATTGGAATAGAGACAGATGTTCCAGTTGACTATAGTATAAGTTATGAAATTTTTCAATTTTGTTTTCAGACGTGCTCGGATCATGTATATAATATATCAGAGACAGAAGAAAGTATATTACGTCTGCATTTTATCAAATTTGAAACAAAGTATATAGAATCATGTCTAGACTTTATTAAAAGTAATTTGTTTGAATTTGGTGGTCGCAGTGGTCTGTCGAATGAAAAATGTATCAAAGCAACTGGTGGTGGAGCACATAAATATAAAGATTTAATCACTAGTAAACTAGGAGTCCAGTAAGTTGCAATCATCAAGGGAATATAGCCATTAAATTATTTGCTTTACCAGAGAAACCATAAATTGAATTGTTTATTAGCTTAAACAAAAGCTTACTTGATTTCAAATTGTCAAGGAATCTTGAAAGTGCACATCTTGTAACACACAGGGATGGTACTCGATTGGTTTGACAGAAACACCTGCCACTGTTTCAGCCTCTGATAACTATTTTGAAAGTTGTTGGTTGGTGTAGGAACAGAAAAACTAGGCAACTAGGCCCTGTTTTGTGGGAATTTTCTGCTGGAAATAAGGGGGGGAAAGAGATATTCTTGGATTCTTTGGATTCACTGAAATTATGTTAAGTGTGGCTTGTAATTTTGTTTGTTGGCTATTAAACATTATATTGGACAAGTCAGATTTTTGGTACAATTTGACGCAGATTGATATACTGAATATTTATTACGGAAGTGGGCGTATCTAGCTAGGCAACCACAATTATGAGTTATTGCCCTTGAATTTAAACATTTCACTACTCGTTGTCATGGTTACTATCTGTTGTATATTGTAGAGTAGATAAAGAAGATGAAATGGAATGTTTGATAACAGGATGTAATTTTTTATTAAATAATATTCCTGATGAGGCCTTTATATATCAGCGTCATGGCAACCCTGAGTATAGATTTCAAGGTGTCAATCATGATATATTCCCTTATTTACTGGTCAATATTGGTTCTGGAGTCAGTTTAATTAAGGTCAGTATTACTAGAATATATCTTTATCTTTATCTGTCTATATATTTTGTACAGAATTAATGGTCATCAAAATACTACCAACTGATAGTGCTCAATTTAGGCACTTTTCAGCAGTCAAATTTGGTATCCAACTCTTATATATCACACTGGACACTGGACATTATTGATCTTCCTGAATCATCAATGAGTTGTAACAGCAGATATTAAGATGACCAGTTGAAATGAGAAAGGTAGAAATGACCAGTTTAGTCATGAAAATGCGCTCAAGTATAGTGTTCTCTACGTAATCTGATATACACTGGGACCATATGAATATGTCCTATTACAGAGAGTGTCAGGGTTCTATAACTTTAGGGTTTTTAGCATTTGTCGAATTCACCAGTAGTACATATAGTTTTTACTATCAATAGGCCATGATACATGTATTTCACTTTCTGTTTTAATATTTCTACATGTATTCAGCACTATTTTAACAGTGAAATAATTACCTTGGCATATATTGTGGTGTATTGTATTCTTGTCATTTAATCAAAGGTAGAATCTGAAAGTAAATATGATAGAATTGGTGGAACATCTACTGGTGGAGGTACGTTCTGGGGACTCGGTTCCTTACTTACTAAAGCCAAGGTGAGTTAACTTCATACATCTGAATACTGTACTGGTACATCTTAAAGCCAAGCTGAATCAAAATGTTGTATATGAAGATTCTAACTTCATCTCTTCTTTGCAGCAATTGATAAACCTGTATGCAAAGGTAGACCCAATTATTAAACAGTTCTTTTTTAATTTGGCTTACATTCATCTTTTGAATTTTTTTCTCTTAGAGTTTTGATGAGTTGGTAGAACTAGCTGAGAAAGGTGATCATCGTTCAGTTGATATGTTAGTAAAAGATATTTATGGTGGTGCATATGCTACTATAGGACTACCTGGAGATCTTATTGCTAGTAGTTTTGCTAAGGCTGCTCGGTCACCTCGAGATAGAAACAGTAGGTAAACAATTCTTCTTTACATTATCAACTCAGATTTATTGAAGAATGAAGCATTGAAATACAGGAATGGGGACTTATTGTCAGAATCACATCATAATTTTAAGATTTTAAGAACCCGGATTGTTGGTCTGGCTCTTCCTAGAAATAAGCACATTTCTACCACTATAATTAGCTATCGTGTTTACTTTCACAAATAGAACTTCAACTTTTGATTTCATCTGCATTTGGATGATGCAAGTCATTAGTCTGGTATGCCCAGTATTGAAAGGTATACAACCATACAATATGATCATTGCATGTTATATCATGCTGTTTCTATTAAACAGTATAGCATGCCAGCAGTGGTGTATGATCAAAAATGCTTGAGACGAAGGCCAAATATGAGAGGTGTCTCCCCAAGGCAAGGCCTGAAGGGCGCAAATGGATTTCAGATGGTCTGAGGTAAATTTTGAGCATTCAGAGAGCTTCATTTTCACTTCCCCCTTAAAGACAACTAGTAGTCTTATTACTTATTATTCATTACTATTTTGATGCTGATATTTACCTATAATGTTATAAAACAGTAGGTATGACAGATGAATTTGTTACAGAACTAGAATATAAAGATGAAGATGTAGCTAAAAGTTTGTTATTATCTATTAGTAATGATATTGGACAAATAGCCTATCTACAAGCTAAAATACATGGATTGAAAAAAATCTATTTTGGTGGTTATTTTATACGTGGACACCCCATGACTATGCACACCATTACATATGCTATTAATTTCTGGTCAAAAGTAAGTATATTTTATATCTTTTTATTTTATTGCTTTTGCAATACATGTACTTGATACTTTAATGCCTTGGTGTCACTGTGCAACTCGGTTTGTCAACTTAAATCCTGCGGGAAAGGCTTAGATTGATACTTCATGTCTGTTCACATTTCTTGTATAGGCGCGATAGAGGCTACAGTTTTTATCTGATCTTGATGAAACTTGATATGCATGTATATATTGAAATTAGTAATAATCGGATGGACGGTTTCAGGCCCTTGACTTAGTAAAAACGCGTCAAATTTGGCTTTGTATGCATGTATATATTGATGAAATCTCAGTTAAGTTCAAAATTGGTAATAATTGGATTACAGGTTTTGGAGTTATTGCCCTTGACTTAGTAAAAACGTGTCAAATTGTAGGCACGATAGAGACGACAGTTTTATCCAACCTAGATGAAACTAGGTATGCATTTGATGAGATCTCAGTCAAGTTCTTAATTGGTAACAATCGGATGAAGAGTTTCGGAGTTATTGCCCTTGACTTAGTAAAAACTTGTCAAATTCGGCCTGCAGACATGATAGAGACTACAGTTTTTATTCAATCTTGATGAAACTAGATGCATGTATATATTGATGAGATCTCGGTCGAGTTAGAAATTGGTAATAATTGGATGAACTGTTTCAGAGTGTGCCCTTGTGTGTACATGTACAGCGATGAGACATTGTTCATGTTTGAATTTGATGATAATTTTATGAACTCTTTCAGGTTTTTGCCTTGACTTATAGATGATTGTAAGATTATTTGAAAATTCATTATTAAGCCACTAAATATTTTGTTATCATTTCTGACAGCTGGTAGTGGGCGTATGTTACCTTGCCTGGCAGGCTATCTTATCAATTTGTAAACACATGCTCACATTAACTATGAACAGACCTGAACAAAGAACAATTCCCCAAGATGTGCATGAACACTCTCTATTTTTCTAGATTTGTATTTCAGGGTGAGATTCAAGCCTTATTTTTACGTCATGAGGGATATTTAGGTGCAATAGGAGCTTTTCTAAAAGGTGCTAATGAAACTCAAGGTATGTTTAATTACTTTCAATGTTAAAGGGACAGATAGACCATTTTTTTGACCAATCATACTTTAGTCTTAGAAATTGGATTTTTTAAGCTCAGCTTATCAATTATAGTGTTCACAGCTCACGTCAAAATTTGAACTTTCAGATCAATGTGTCCAGAATTATCTGCGTTTGAATGTTAAAATGACGACTCGTCAATTTAAGATACTCTATGATATATAGAAAAGACATCTATAGAAATAGTGAGTTATGAAGTATTTTTGAAGGAAATATGTGATTTTCGTACCTTTCTAGTACTTCTGAAGACTATTTACAAATATTTAACCCCCCAAAATCCTGCAACTGTCCGCAACATAAAACATATAGTAACTAAAAGTTTCTTTACTTGCTGACAGACTTCAATATTAACTCTTATCTGTCTCTCTAACACATTTTATTTTTCAACCTGGTTTTCCCGTGTCAGTGATGCAGGTAACATGGAAAACCGAGGCCTTGTGTGCTACAGGCTGTGCACGTTAAAGATCCATCGACAGTTGGAAATCGAAAAAGAGCAGGCCAATGCCGCTGTCCTGGCAAAATTACCTTCATTGCACGCTGCATGGCGTTGCCCGTCTTCATTAGCCCACATGGTGCAGAAAAGTAGGACGTAAAACTCCATTCATTTCATTTCATTTCTAACTCATTTAAAACTATTACATATTACTAACATGTTTCATTTTAGTAGGTAAATCTCATAATTGGGATTTAGGTAATAAATATTCATTATGTCATGGTTTTGAAAGCAGCCAATCAACACACTGTAATGAAATATTTGTTTTGTAAATATGAACACACACTTGAAAATCCTGAATGTTATATGAATCTGGACAAACCCCTCTCGTATGAAAAAGGTAATTTTGATTCTCCACCTTTTTCAAAGCTATTTGGATAAAGTGTATCCCATGCTTTTACAATGCTTGATATGCTGGTACTTCATTTTTGCTTTGTAAAATTCAGTTTTTCATATGAAATTTTCATCTTTGTTGTAGATGATGCTAGTTTTGTTTGGGGAGAACACTTTGCTGGAAGTTCTGGATTAGCTAGTCCTAAGTGTTCAGGTTTCTTTGGTAAACCAAGAAGTTCAACTGTAAGTAACTGTTATTTAAGTTTCACTATATACTGTGGTAAAATATCCATGATCTTTATGTGGAGATTCATCATGCACCATATAATGTCTACAATGACTTTCACCCTAATCGGTGACATGTGACATGAAGTGATTTATCTCTTACAGTTTGATATGCTGGAATTGGACAGACTGGGCAAACCTTTACTACCATGTCCTCTATTACTGGATGTCAAGGACTACTTCCCAGACACAGTGGATTTGACTGTAGACACAGATGCTAGGGAGTATTGGTTACAATGTTTTGCTAATGGTATTGAAAAGGTATGTTCTGTTTTAAATTAGACTTTTTAGGAATGACTAGGCAAATGTCAGCACATCTGACCTCCTTCATTGATATTGGAAAAATGGGTTGAAAAATTCAAAAGTATTATCGTTAACTCTGCTGAGATTGAACCTTGGCCATTCTAGTTAATACACAAGCAAATTACAAACTGTGAATGCCAACCATTTAAGCTGCATCATGATCAATTTGTATTACTTGTGTGAGAAGTATTTGTCATGTGTAAAGGTACATGATTAAAATATATTTGTCACATGTAACATTATTTTGTCATGTGTAATGTTACATTAAAATACATTTGTCATCTGTAATGTTACATTAAAAATACATTTGTCATCTGTAATGTTACATTAAAATATATTTGTCATGTGTAATGTTACATTAAAATATATTTGTCATCTGTAATGTTACATTAAAATACATTTGTCATCTGTAATGTTACATTAAAATATATTTGTCATCTGTAATGTTACATTAAAATATATTTGTCATCTGTAATGTTACATTAAAATATATTTGTCATGTGTAATGTTACATTAAAATACATTTATCATCTGTAATGTTACATTAAAATATATTTGTCATGTGTGATGTTACATTAAAATATATTTGTCATGTGTGATGTTACATTAAAATACATTTGTCATCTGTAATGTTACATTAAAATACATTTGTCATCTGTAATGTTACATTAAAATACATTTGTCATCTGTAATGTTACATTAAAATATATTTACATGTGTAATGTTACATTAAAATACATTTATCATCTGTAATGTTACATTAAAATACATTTGTCATCTGTAATGTTACATTAAAATATATTTGTCATCTGTAATGGTACATTAAAATAATTTGTCATGTGTATTGGTACATTTTGAAATACATATTTGCCATTGAAATTGTTTATGCTCTATCACCTAAAAGAAAAGAAAAACTTTCACAATACATTTTGCAGACAAAAGAGCAAGCTATCAAAAGTCAATCAAATCTTCCTGATGTTAAACCAAGAGCTGAGAAATTCAAATCAAAATACCTTGATAGGCTGCAGGAGTTAAAAGAAAATCCATGGTATGAACTTATTTATATTATGTCTGTTGCCATCTTCATAATATCAAGCTTTTTTGAACTTAGCCATTTTACCTTGACTGTAATACCTACTATTCTTGTTTTGCTCAATGCAGCAATTTGATTGTACAGCCCTTGACAGAAAGGCAATAAACATTATGGCTCTTTTTTGTTCAAGGTTTTCTGTAGAAGCCTCTGATTGGCTGTATTTTTTAGTGTAAAATCCAATCAAATCACTTCATTTATAATCTTCCATGGTACTAGAAAGGGAACTTTTTTTAGTCAAGGTATAAGTAGTCCATAATAGCTTGTCATGTATGTTTTTTTATATTGCAGTGGAGTTTTTAAGTGCTGTCTAGTGGGGCCCTGAACCCAGAACTGTGGCTGATCAGGGTTCCCCCTTCCTCAACTTTAAATTTGTTTTGATTTTAGAAGCAGCAAAGACTTGACTGTGAGCATTGAAATACTACTAGTCTGTGATTTCTGAAATTCTAGAGAAACAATTTTATTATTGTAGTGCCTATGGTTCTTTAACAGTAAGAAGTCTATTAGATACCTCCAGTCAGTATTTATCTGAACTCTATTTTACTGATCCCTACTCTCAGGTTAGTTAATAGTGTTAAGTATTTCAGATATAAGACTAGTCAGCAATCAATTTGACCAATCAAACCTTAGTCTTCGAAATGGAAAGTTTTTAGCTTAACTTTTCAGTTATAGTGTTCACTGTCGAAACTGGAGCTTTCAAACCAATGTGTGTTCAGAATTATCCATGTTTGAAAGTTAAAAAGACAACTTGTCTTTTCTTAAGACTCTGAAATACATAGAAAAGACATATATAGAAATAGAAAAAAAATTCCTAGTTAAAGGTATTTGTGAAGGAATTTCCGTACATTTCTAGTACTTCTGAAGACTATCTACATATATTCAAGAACCAAATCCACCCCAACAATGGCAATACATGGTCCTTAAGTTAAATCGAATGAAGTTAAATGAAATCTTGTCATTTTGGTATTTTTCAGCAAAAGCAGTTTGAGAATGAACAGGCAGTAAAGTTACTTAGCAGTCATCTATCAGAATTAGATAAACTTGATTGGCATCAACGCCAGTTAGAGTTAGTACAGGGTATACTTGCAGGTAATATGTTTGATTGGGGTGCTAAAGAAGTCTGCAAGCTGATGGAAACTGGTGAATTTGGTTTCAAAGAAGCAAGATTACGTCTTCAAAGTAAGTATTTTGCTGAGTTTGATACCTGCAGTGAAAAAAGTGTTTATATAATATAATTAAGGTAGACCCTGTTTGTTATGTTTGTGTAATTTGTTATTAATATTTAAGGTAGACCCTGGTTATTAGATTGTGTAATTTGTTATTAATATTTAAGGTAGACCCTGGTTATTTTGTGTGTGTAATTTGTTATTAAAATTTAAGGTAGACCCTGGTTATTAGATTATGTAATTTGTTATTAATATTTAAGGTAGACCCTGGTTATTTTGTTTGTGTAATTTGTTATTAATATTTAAGGTAGACCCTGATTATTTTGTTTGTGTAATTTGTTATTAATATTTAAGGTAGACCCTGGTTATTTTGTGTGTGTAATTTGTTATTAATATTTAAGGTAGACCCTGGTTATTTTGTTTGTGTAATTTGTTATTAATATTCTAGGTAGACCCTGGTTATTTTGTGTGTGTAATTTGTTATTAATATTTAAGGTAGACCTTGGTTATTAGATTGTGTAATTTGTTATTAATATTTAAGGTAGACCTTGGTTATTATGTTTGTGTTATTTGTTATTAATATTTTAGGTGAACTCTGGTTATTTTGTTTGTGTAATTTGTTATTAATATTTAAGGTAGACCCTGGTTATTTTGTTTGTGTAAATTGTTATTAATATTTAAGGTAGACCCTGGTTATTATGTTTGTGTAATTTGTTATTAATATTTTAGGTGAACACTGGTTATTTTGTTTGTGTAATTTTTTATTAATATTTAAGGTAGACCCTGGTTATTTTGTGTGTGTGATTTGTTATTAATATTTAAGGTAGACCCTGGTTATTTTGTTTGTGTAATTTGTTATTGATATTCTAGGGCGACCCTGATTATTTTGTTATTAATATTTTAGGTGAACCCTGGTTATTAGATTGTGTAATTTGTTATTGATATTCTATGTAGACCCTGGTTATTTTGTGTGTGTAATTTGTTATTGATATTCTAGGTAGACCCTGGTTATTTTGTTTGTGTACGTTGTTATTGATATTCTAGTTAGACCCTGGTTATTTTGTTTGTGTAATTTGTTATTAATATTTAAGGTAGACCCTGGTTATTTGATGATTTTGATCTGTGGTGTAAAAGATTTTCTGTAAAACCTAATCATAAATGTGCTGTAATATTCTGTGATAACAGTGGATGTGATATTATACTAGGTATATTTCCTATGGCTAGAGAACTACTGTCACAGGGAACAAAAGTAAGTTTATTGTGTTTTAGCTGGACGTAGGTTTATAGGGAGATGCAGAAAAAGACAATATATCTCTTCTATCAGGATCATTTAGCCAGTAATATTTTATATTCATTACTGAAACCCCATTGGTGCCTCCACCGACTTCATGTTGAGCTTCAAATCTATTTTCTAAATTAATATCTTAATAGTTAAAATACTATTTTTTATTTAGGTTATACTGTGTGTCAATTCAAGACCAACATTAAATGATGTAACATATAGTGAATTAGTTATACTAGTGAAAAAAGTAGCAGCTATTAGTAGTCAAATAAATGATGCTTTACTATCAGAGAGATTATTGGTTATGGAGAATGGTCAAGGATCACCATGCTTAGATTTAAGGTTGGTTTTAATTTAGTACTACTTTACACATGAAATGATAAAACAATTTTAGTAAGGTCTCTTAAATATCTCAAATTTGGAATTTTACTCACTATTTCTATATATCACAGAGTATCTTCAAACGCAGACACACATGGATTTGAAGGCTCAGATTTCGATGGTGAGCTGTGAAAACTATTACTGATTGGCTTAGATAAAAAAAAATTCTGAGACAAAAGTATGATTGGTAGGATGATATGTATTGTATTTTTCAGGTTGATAGACTATGACTTAGTAAATACTATGAAAAAATTAGAAACAGACCTAGTAATACTAGAGGGAATGGGGAGAGCTGTTCATACAAACTTCCAAGCACGGTTTTCTTGCGATGTTTTAAAAATAGCCGTCATCAAAAATAAATGGTTAGCCAATAGACTTGGAGGTGATATGTTTAACGTCATGTTTAAATTTGAAAAGGCGAGACAGATTGCGTCGTCTGCATCCAATGAAAAGAGTTGATGATTGTGCTTTCCAAGACTATTTTAACTCGTATTGTAAGGACCAGGGTTTTCTTAAATATTTGAAATTACATCCAGATACTAAAGGAGTTGTTTCTTAGCAACATGCAAATTTGAGGAAAAATCACATGCAGGCTAAACTGGTCCAAGGAGGAAATAATATTGGGTAGTAAAAGTTAATTAAAAACAAATTTTAAAAGATTTAATTACAAATTTGATGTGCATAGCATCAATTTTGCGCCATTCAAATTTTCTATCAGACATTTACGATTCTTGAAATTACACATAAGTGTTTGATGATGTCACTTATGGCGAAATATGAATTTATGACATAAGGTCTTCATGATTAGTGATGTCATCAAACACTTAGTTTTAGTGAGATTACAGGAACCACAGACGTCTGATTGAAAATTAAAATGGTGCAAATTGATGCTATCTGTGTACCCTATGCACATAAAAAATTTTTATAAAATCTCTTAAAATTTGTTTTTAATTAACTTTTACTAGCCAATATTACTATTGAAACACATAAAAAAAATCAGAAAACAATCCCTTTAATTGAAAGACTTGCTGAGTAACACAATTTTTTTTATCTACAGTGCAAAAAACAAATAAAAATAGCTGCTCAGCAATGACTTAAAAGGGATGACAAAGTCCCAACGTTTGTTTCTGAAAAAAGCTTTCAGTCATTTTCAGTGAAGTATAATTGGATGAACATTATCAAATTAATCTATCTGTACCATCTATCAGTACTGCTTTCAATACATAATCCTATAAAATATAGTATTATACCAATCAAAACAAAATAAAGTATTATATTTTTAATTTTTGTATTTTAATGTATTTTTTCTAAGCTATCACCACTGGAAAATACACTTAAACGAACTGTTTTTTATATATACAAATAGAATTGTTGACGTATATAGTTGTTGCCCCTGTCGTCAGTCCATCCACATTTCTGACTACAGTTTTGATCTGATTTTTGGATGATATCTGGTCTCATCATTTATATTGATGGACAAGTTCCAATTTGACTATTTTTCGATAAACCGTTTTTGAGTTATTGCCCCTGACTAAAAAAGACACATCAAAGTTGAGCAAAAAGAGATTACAGTTTTTATCTCATTTAACCATGCCCCTTTATTAAAAATAGATGCACTTCATCCAATACCTGCCTATGAGGCAGTGAAATTTAGCCAATCAAATCATCATTTTTAATACTTGAGGGGTTGCGCACACTGAATTATATTTGTGAGTTTCATACGTGTTACAAAACAAACTCTATGTATAGTGTGTTCATTGGCTAGTTTAAAAATCACATGACATTTTTTACTTCCGTTAGAGGTAAACCTACTAATGTGAAGCACAGTAGAAATATTCAATAGTTTTTGATGAGTTATAGAACATATACAAATATAGGTCTTTGTTCTATGTTATTCCATCTTCTGAACTCTCAAGCAATGTTGATAACTCTGGATATTTTTCAATGAGAATTTTTACAACATTTTGATGCCCTTGTTGAATTGCCTGAAATTGATTTATAGGATATTGGACACAAGTTACAAAAACTTAAATTAAAATAGCTTGCCAGGCAAGGTAATATACGCCCACTGGCAGCTTTGATTTTGAATCAAAATATTTAGCAGTACAGTAACAATCACCAGTATTTCAGTATTCAATTTTCAGTCATATACTTCTTTTGAATTCTTACTAAATATTTAGTATGAGTTATTGCCCTTGTTCTTGAAAACGCGTTCAATTTTTAGCTTGTAAACACTCTAGAAGAGATAATTCTTTGAGGATTTTGACGAAACTTGGCATGAGTGTTTGTTATCACCCAAGGATAAACCCTATTGAAAATCAGAAAAATCAAAAAATAATTAGTATGAGTTATTGCCCTTGCTATTGGAAACGCGTTCAATTTTTAGCTGGTAATCACTCTAGAAGGCACAATTGTTGACAGTTTTGATGAAACTTGATGTGAATGTTCGTTATCACCCAGGGATAAACCCTATTGAAAATCAGAAGAATTGAAAAATATTTAGTATGAGTAATTGCCCTTGTTCTGGAAAACGCTTTCAAATTTAGCTCTTAAACACTAAAAGGCATGATTTTTACTGGATTTTGACAAAACTTGGTTTCATTATTAAGTCCCGCACTGAAGATTGAATATTTGCCTACTAGAGTTTTCACGAGCTAAAAATTGATCAATATTATTCAGTATCGCCCTAAAGAGTTCAAAAGAAATGTATGACTGAAGGTTGAATATTTCATACTGGTGATTGTTCCTGTACTTCTAAATATTTTTATTCAAAATCAAAGCTGCCAGTGGACGTATATTACCTTGCCTGGCAAGCTATCTTTTGTTGATAATATAAAATTTCTGATAATGAATTTAACTTGACATATTATAAGATTAGGTGATTAAAACAATGAGATCCTGATAATTTGTCACACCTTTGATTAAGTTTTCTCGAGGACTAGCCTTAGATTCGACACAAAAATAAATGAGGCATGATTTATAAATTAATTTATAAAGCCTTAAAACAAGTACATGTGTTTCGATTATTAATCGATTACAGATTCGATTATGCCTCTCCGATTATTTCGATTAATCGATTATTATGTTAATCCGATTGCCCATCACTACCGAGAGCAGAACTGTTGTTTGATAAATTACCTTATGAACCGCTGTATTATCATCAGCATCCTTTAATAATGCATCTGCCTTGTATGATAAGAACAATTTGACTATGCCTTCATGTCCCATATAGGCAGCTCTGTGCAATGGGGTTGCTTTCCCACTCTTTGTCTGATAGTTAACACAAGCTCCTTTCTTTAGGAGAATTTCACAAATTTCATAATGACCATTCCGTCCTGCATAATGCTGAAAACATACAAAGTCATTCATAAATAGCAGCAAATACGTGAATTTTACCTTTTATTATACGCCCACATGAAATTGGGGGCGTATATTGCCGTCACCATTGTCCGTCCATCCGTCCACAATTGCTCGTGAACACTCTACAAGACAAAACTTGGCACAAGTGATCGTAATGACACAAGGATGAACTCTAATGAAAATCAGAAGAATTGAAAAATATTTAGTATGAGTTATTGCCCTTGTTCTTGAAAACGCGTTCAATTTTTAGTTCGTAAGCACTCTAGAAGGCACAATTCTTGATGGATTTTGACGAAACTTGGTATGAGTGTCTGTTATCAACCAAGGATAAATCCTATTGAAAATCCGCAGAATCGAAAAATATTTAGTATGAGTTATTGCAAACCCATTTCAATTTTTAGCCTGTAAAAAGTCTAGAAGTAGACTACATATTATAGCGATAAGCTAACAGCGTAAACTGAACAGAGCAAACTGTGTAGCTGTAAAAAAAAAACCATGAAATAACATGTTAATGCCCCTTTAATCAAATGGGACATTACAGTGTCTGGATAATCAAGATTACTACCGGAAGAGATTTTCCAAGTTACTAAATTTAGATACAAACCAAGGCAGTGTATCCTGAGCTGTCAGTTGCATTCGGGTCGTTTCCCTTCACTAATGAACTTCGAACACCTTCGATGTCTCCGGTAAGGGCAGAGTACCAGATGCCTCTTTCAAAATCTAACTCATCTAACGTCTGACAAACGGAAGGAGATGCATTTTGTGAAGAACAACAGTGATCGTGGTGTTCCCCGTGAGAAGCCATAATAGTAGTCTCGATCAGTTAGACACTACTCGGAAGAATATTAAAGGTATGTATTCTTTTAATTCTTCGTTTTACTTATGCAGACATGTAGATCGATAGTTGAAGGATTTTTTTTAGTGGTTGTATTATGTTGAGCCTATCGCAAGTCTAATGACAATATAAATTTCATGGATGTTTCGTGACTCAGTACATGTCAGTGTGTCATATTGTATCACTTATTATTGTGTATTATCTTGTATCATGATGTATGCTGCCCAAAAAGGGCGAACAATACAATAAATATCTATCTATTCTACATCAGTCAGGCGGTAACACACCGCGTGTTGAGAAAAAAATGATCTCAAATAGTAGTGCTTTTAAATAACTCTGTATATATTTGTTGGTAAATATACTTTGTGAATATCCATCAGTGTCGAAAATACTGTGCTGGTTTCAAATTACCATGAATGCAAATAGAAACGTCTTTGTAAACCCATGTTAGGAAAATTGCTTTCAATAAGATTTTTAATGAATTTACTAAAGACTTGACAAGTTTTTTTTTTATCCTTCCTGTGAATTGAAATCTCTGGCGTACCGGAAGTGACTATCATGAGAAGTATCGGATTACAATTTATTTTTGTTTTAAAGGGACAACTCACGTGTCAGATATACTAGGCTATCATAGATTGTTCAATTCTAAAGTCTGACACTCAGTTATCCTACAAGTAAATAGGGGCATACAGCTTAAAGCAGGTGGGTATTCCTTTAACCATATATCACAAATTATAATAAAAAACCTATCAAAATATTTATTTTATGCTTGGAAACCAAGGGAAGAATATTATAAAAGATAACTTTATTTAATCAAAATAATATAAACCGATAATTGCATCTAAATCAATTAATTCATTAAGTTATTTGTAAATATTGATTAAGAAATGTTTTTGTAGTAACTTTTTGTCAATGCTACAGCATTATGTTTTGTACATGCACATGCTAACGCAATAAACTTATCTAATCTAAAAATATATATAATATAATAAAATAGGAAATGTCCCTTGAACAAAACCTCTAGCAAATGAGAATTTTAACGATTTCTTATATAAATAATATCACCCTATAACTTCCAACAAAACATTTCTTCTTTAGAGACTGTGGAATTTCTGATATAGAATCTCTTTAGCAAAGCATTTACGATGTTTTTTATTTTTTTCATGATGTGTGTCGGATTACTCCGGGCGGACATTGTTACCAATTCGTTCCACAAAGTTGGTGATTGTAGTGCTGCATCAGTAGCTCCGGCGTTTGTTGGAAAAGTTAAATCCAGGAGTCGCATTCATTGCTCTACACAATGTTCAAAAATTTCTGAATGCAATAGCGTCATCTATCAAGCAGCCACCAAAACATGTCTCTTTTACGATGCCAACGAAGGGACTTGCCCGTCTACAAATGGTCGTGAGGTAGATGTATATAAGAAAAACGCAGTTGTATCCACTCTGAGCTCAGTTTCTTCTGACTCTCCCACAACAAGTTATTCAAACATTGGTTCTACTGAACAAGTCATGGAAGAAACCAGTCAGACCTTACAAAGTAATGGAATACAAAATTTGCACACTGATATTTCAACGTCGACCTCCACTCAGTCCACAAGCAATTCTACCATCAGTTCTGTAAGTATCAGCTAGCAAACGGCCTACGAAGCAGTGGTGGCGCTATCCTCTCGAAACTGGGGGACAAACGGGGCAGAATAACTTAATGGGAATCAGAGACTGGTACGAGTCAACGAATTTCAGATATTTTCTTTTAAACATTTTTCAGGTTACGAACTACGACCCATCTTGCGTACACGGAAACTACTACATGGATAATGGTCGGTCTTTGTGTATTTGTAATGATGGATTTATGGGAACAGATTGTCGTGAACGTTTCACAAGTAAGCATTTACTTTCACATGAAATTTAAATCATAAAACCTCTAAGACTATGACTATATTCATGTACTCTGTAATTTTTAAGAGCTACGTCATAGCAGAACAGAACAGAATACCTAACGCCACCAGGAAACCCGTGTCTCTGGCCAGTAGTGTCCGGCTAAGCTTTCGTTCAGAATTATTCCCTGACCCTGCCTCGGGATTCCGATAGTGTTTTCATGCTATGCCCACTCAGTTACCAGCTCCATTAACCTCTTCAAAACTAGCAGCACATGAGCTGGATACATTCGCATTTTCGTGCGACCTTACGGTGACCGGGGTACTTTGATTCTTCCTTGTAGGATGCACAGATTGGTCTAACTATTTGAGTACTCTAAAGAACTGGGATGTGAGCAGCGATTATTACACCACTCAATATTCCCGTCAGGTCACAATTCAGCCACCCAATTCTCCACAACCATTTTCAGTCCAGTGCAAATTTACTTCTTTCACGGCGGAGACGTATGTTTATATGAATACAGAGAAAGACAGGAATAATTTTGATAAAACCTGGAGTAAAATGAAAGAAGGATTCGTTTTCAATGGTGGATTTTGGATTGGCATGGATCGTCTTTACGAACTTATTACCAATGAACGGTCATTTGGTGAACAGACCATGATAGTTACTTGGGTAGAATCTAACAGCAGAAAATACACCGTCATGGTGGTAAATAATCTTCAGATAGGAAATGAAACTACCAACTATCAAGTACAGTATACCAATGGGCGCTTAGGTTATTTTAGCTCGTTTCCAGATTTGAATGGTGCAATGTTCTCTACCAAAGATAACGATAACGACGGAGTTTCAGATTTAAATTGCGCCAATAAAAACAAACGTGCATTCTGGTACAACGGAGAATGTAGCTTTGATACATTAATCTTATTTCATATCAAACTTAGAAAATATTCTACCTGGCCATAAAGCAATAGTGTCTTAATAAGACTATGGCGAAGTCCGATAATGGTCACCAAGTCATTTTACAATTACATTTAATCGAATTAAAAGATTCAAAAGCAGTTCTTTTGTTTAAAAAAGTGAATTTCTTTTTTACGAAAACATACCTCACCCTTCTGGAACACTTGAAGACATTGGGGTTACCAGCAAGTTCCTACTTGTGAAACAAAATCCAACATAGGAATGTTGGGTTGGTCTATAAATTCTTATGAATAATTATTTGGCTTTATACTGCATGAGAAATCTTTTTATCAAGTTTACTTACCAATACTTAAAAATCAATGGAAGACTGTTAGCTCAGAGTTCAATTTAGATAATTGAAAAGTAATAAGTCACACCAAACTATGAAAACGAAATTCAATTTATGTAGCAATTAAAAGGTTTTCCTCTCAAAAATCGCGTTCGTTTTGAAGAGATAGGGGAAAGAAAAAGATGGAAGAGACAGTGGGTGTAGTTGGGGCATTGATGAAGAAGAGATAGTAGGGTGTAGAGTTAGGGCAGTAAGGAAGAAGAGACAGAGGGTGTAGAGAGTGGATTTAGGGTGTTTATTAGTAAGGAGGAAGTGTCAAAGGGGTTTTGAGTTGGAGTAGTAATGGAGAAGAGACAGGGGAGGGTGTAGTGTGTTAAAGTAAGGAAGCTAGTAACCGTGGGTTAGAGTTGGGGTAGTCAGGGTGAAGTGGTGTAGAAAGCTGAGGGCTAGTGGGGTATTCTTTTGTCTTGAGAGGTACATAATATACCTCCGTGCAATGCTTCGAATTACAGTACTCCGAAGACTTATTACGAGTTACAGTGCTCAACTTTCAACTTCAAATTTTTAACCGCCTCAATATAACGAATGAAATTGAATTAATAAAAAATCATAAGTTGCCTCAGTGGTCAAAGTAATAAAATCGGAAAGAATTCCTTCCCTTGAAGTAAATCGTATAAATAACGTTACTATTTAAACTACCAATTTTGATCGATATGTTCTTGTTGTTGGCTACCAATGACAATTTTTCGCCAAAATGTAGTTTTGGATCTGGCTCGGGTTTCGTTTTGCGGTGTGAATCATAAGTACTTGGTTTATTTACCGATCTCGCCAATGACATTAAAAATTAATATGATAACAAAATAATCATATTGTAATTGGTTGGTGTCCATAACAGCAAATTAAAGGAAATTGTAATGATTATGTCAAATTTGGATGGATTGATGTCTAAGGATATCTTAGGCAGTGAAAAGACGCATCCGTAAATTTAAGCCTGGCTCACCTGCCAATCGAGTCTAGAATTTATTCAGAGTAACATCCCTTTCATCATAAATAGTTATTTTTATCTTTCGCAATATTAATTTACCCTATTTCTTGTCAATTCCATTAAGTTTTGCAATTTTTTCGAGAATTTACGTTTCTCATAATTATTTGGACGAGTGATTCACGATTTACACGTGTGTGTGTGTAACCATTACCTTGTAGACTGTCGCATCAACTGAGCATATTAACGGTAAGTGAAATAATAATAATAATATTGACACTGTCTTGTTGACTTGACCCTTAATTCAGATCTAGGCTAGGGATTTGATGGCAGTTGTTAATCTTTTTGTTGTTGTTATTGTTATGATTCCTGTTAATCAGCTTCAGCCTTATTTGAATCCTTTGTAATGATGTCTATTGATCCCAGTCCATCAAAAAATATCCAAAATGAAATTGAATGTAGTAACAAACAAATGTAATGTTATGTAATTTCGAATTTAATAGGCTATAGCAAATGAAGCAGACATTTTGTAATATGATGTTGTCATTATATTTAGAATTAATTTTGGACAATAATGGATACACCTTAAAAAAAAAAAAGATAATAAACATTAAGTACTGGCAGGCGATATTTTTTTTAAACATCTTATAAGCCTATGATAAGTATTTAAATGCTAATTATTTATTTTCTATTTTTTTTGGCTAGATATGATGTTGGTAGTATTATTATGTGAAGAATGCCTCTGAATTTCTTCAAGAAGAGATCTAAAAAGATGCCATTTTTCCGATCACAGAGTGATGAAGCAAAGAGAAGATTACAACATCAACTCTACTTGGTAAATACCGGTACTTAATATATATATAACTGCATTAGGTGAAAATTGTTTTCAAAGGGAATTTCATATGAAATCTGGTATATGTTGGGTTTTTGTTGCTGAAATAAGTTTACATAATAATATTATCAGTTCGTCACACAAAAGCTTTATTAAATATAGTTTTTGTGTGACAAACTGAAAGAAATTTTGTCGTTTCTAAACTGCAGGCCATACTATACTGTATTTTTGAACTTGGTGTATGAACGAGATCTAAAAATTCTATATAACGCTCTCTCGACTGCGTCCTAGAAACTACTAGTATCGTTTACTCCTACAGTGATATGGTTATTTCATGCAGTGTTGATATATTTTCAGGCACAAGAAAATCCAGAACCAGAGTTCGACATCTCAGGATGTCAAATAGCAGAGGTATGATTAAGATAGATGAGGAACATTCTAAAAAGAAAACAATTTACTGAACAATTTGTGAACTAAAGGTTGCATTCAGTGTCTAATGCTTCTCAGAATACACCTTTTTTTTCATGTCACAAATTCTCAGCTTTGGAGAGGGCAGCATGTTGATTGGCTGTTGGTGTCATCAAATGTTCAAGAAGGCTGTCTGAAGACCCCAACTGAATTTGCTATATTTAACAAAAAGATGATAAATAACGAAACAAAAGTTTGGTCTCTTTTTGATTAAACTGCTCTGTTATCTTGCATTTAATATTTTTCAGATCCCATCCAGTGTATTTTCACTGTGTCGTATATTATATAAAGAAGTATTATTATTATATGATAATTGGTTAACATCTATAGATACCACTGGAAAACTCTCTGATCTACAGTCATTAAAGGTAGGAAAGTACATCGATTTGAATTGACCTAGATATCTGCAATAGACCCATGTCCCTTGCGATTATTCATTCAGCACTAAAAGATACTCGAAAAAATGTAGATGTCTTGCTTCTATTTCTGAAATACAACAAAAGGTGATTTCTTCCACCTGTGTCATCTGTGAGTTTGGGTTGTTGGCAATCAAAGAAAGAAAAAAGAACTATTTTCTTAGTTTTGTCATTATAATAAGGGTTTACTAACGATATGCCAACTTTTATGAATAGTTTGTAACTTTCCAAGATATATTTTAGGTTTTAGATCTGCATAAGAATGAAATAAAACATTTACCACAAGCTATAAACCATCTACATAATTTAAAGGTAAATAATAATTAATATATTCAATAAATTAAAATAAATCAAATTGTTTGCTTTTTTAAAGTGGTCTTTCTATAGATCATTAAGATGAGGGGGGGGGGGGG